TCAGACAAAGAGAATTTTCAAATCAGGAAAAAACTGATTTTAGGCCTAATGTATCTCCAGCACCTCCTGGTATTGCTCCTGGTACTACTCCTGGTATTGCTCCTGGTATTGCTCCTGGTACTACTCCTGGTATTGCTCCTGGTATTACTCCTGGTACTACTCCAGGTATTGCTCCTGGTATTGCTCCTGGTATTGCTCCTGGTACACCTTGAGAAGGGTCATAATTGTGATTTAGCAGTTACTGCTATATATTAGCAATTGCAGTATAGTTTTTTCCTATTATTTGGCTGTTTAGAGTTTATACAGGAAAAGCCATTACCGTATTTTGGAGGTTTAGCACCAAGTCCTGTGAAACAGGGAAAAAAGCGTACATTGGATTTCTGTTAATGTGATGATGATACCCCGCCCCCTTTTAGACACACCAAGTTACCTCCGAGTCCTACTCCAGCTCCTGGCACTACGCCTGGTACTCCCCCTGGTACTCCACCTGGTACTCCCCCTGGTACTCTCCCTGGTACTCCTCCTGGCACTGCCCCTGGCACTCCTGTCATGGACCCAACATTTGTATTAGATTTGCAAGGCTCTAACTTTGACTCCAACACAGAAATGGTATGAGAAACAGAGGAGGTAACAGAAACATCCATACCATATTTTGGAGGTTTAACCCCACCTGCTAATCCTAAAATGTAAAACAAAGAAAAAAACAATTAATGGAAGTGTATTTCACTCAGCATGCTGTGCCACAAACCATCCCCATATCAGCCCTGACAAATCTTCTTTACCATTCCCCCCTGCAGACTGGCACCTGCCAAGCCCCTACTCACCCCCAAGTCCAGTTATAGGTATCCCGCCAGCTGGGACCCATCCAGGACCGGCGGCTACACCTATAGAGTAGCATAAGAGGGCAGACAGTAAGGATGTTTTTAAGGGTCAAGGTAATAAGTGAGTTAAGCATAGCTCTAACAGAAAGAATAGTAGACAAAGGCTATTTTATCATTTAAAAGTGTGTAAGAGGGATTCACAAAAACAGATGCAAGGCAAAATGAGCAGCCAGCATTTTTGAGTGATGCATGGTTAAAAACCCTCAGATGTGCATTAAAGTGACCATATGACGTTTCTGTGCTAGACCACGCAATGTGCCTGTGACTGACCACAAGCACAGGGGGAATTATTCTCACCATATTTCGGGGGCTTCGCTCCAGTGCCGTAGGCTGAGAAACAGAACAATGGGACGGATCATTAGTGAACTGTCCCGATCAAAAGATTTACTGGATTTGGCCGAGTTGTACTGGCCACCATGGATAATGATGGAGAAATAATTGGCAGCAGTTTGGCCAATCCAGTGCTCCAACAGTATGTTTCTCTGAGATAGTATGCAATACTTTTCAAAGACAAGTTGAAGAGGAAGTCCTGCATATGCGAAGACCCAGCTAGGTCTGCCAAAGTGTGTGACAGTGGCTGTTTTATGCTGTGCTTTGTGAATGAAATATTTTTTCCACTGTATAAAATGTTGCTTATTCTTCAAAGACATGGTCGGAAGATCTGCAGCTGATCATTACCTCCAGGGATGCCTGCTGCTGCGGCCCCTGGAACACCTCCTAGGCCTGGCACACGACCAACCCCCCCAGGAACACCTGTATAGAAGAGCAGGTATCTGCTTTGCTGTTGTTGGTATTAACATGGTGCCTGATACTGAGCAGAAAAGCAGTCGTACCACATTTGGGAGCCTTAGCACCAGCAACATAACCTGGAGTGTTTCATAAATCATTAACCATTCATTTTCTAATCTAAGTAATTCTTTTCATGATAGATGCAGTTCAGAAATTTTAAGCATAAGGATGCGCAGATTTTAATGGCTAGATATCTCCTCTCGGATATGCTCAAGCCAAAGTAGACTGGGTCCAGTTTTCATGCTGTGATGTTAGCTGGGTTGGGGGGACATCAGTACAGTGCACAGCCCATATTTCTGTTTGTAGATGGGTGCAGAAACGCTGCTTTAATTCTCTATTTCCCATAGCCCCAGTAATTCCCAACCACATTTGGCCAAAAGCATCGTCTGAGCCACGGCCAGCGTTTATCCAAGCTTGGCTCTCTGGGTAGGAACAATTACGGCACACGGCCAGGCGATTACATCGGGAACTGTGAGAGGAGCGGCTGAGGAAGCAAACAGCCATTTCCCCCAACGGACCTACTCCTGAAAGTTTTGCACGTTCACAGAAGATTTTAACTTTTGGGGTATGTTTTCTCAGGGCATCCAAGGACAGTGTGCTAACCCCAGGCCAGCCTAAGCCTAACTCTCGTGGATCCTGGCCTGACCCTACAGTCTCTCTCAGTCCACACTCACATACTTTACCTTTGATGGCCCCTGCTATGACCTCACCAATGGCACCTACTCTGGCACCCCCAGAACCTTTTTAAGCCACAATACACACACACTTCAGCCTTTGTGTGTTTGGTTCCTCACCATGTGATGCAGATTGTATGAAATTGTCGCCGTTGTACACCTACCATATTTCAAAGCTTTTGCTCCAGCTGGATACCCTGTAACAGAAAAAGTTCAGCATTTGAACTATACATTTACAAAGGGTAGTCTTCTGGAGAATTACATTTTAAATGTAATGTGTAAAATGCTTAGTTAATCAAGCTTTAGTTCAGTTTTGTATATATTGTATTTTGCATATAAAATGCAGAGAAATTCGGTTAAACTGATCCCACCGGTCCTTAAGAGATTTATTTGCCACCAGATTCTCCTTATAGTATCTCCTGGTACTCCGTCTGGTACTCCCCCTGGTACTCCCTCTGGTACTCCCCCTGGTACTCCCTCTGGTACTCCCCCTGGTACTCCCCCTGGCAATCCCCCTGGTACTTCACCTGGTACTAACTCCTGGTACTCCTCCTGGGATTCCCCCTGGCAGTCCCCCTGGTACTCCTCTGGGGATTTCCCCTGGCAACCCCCCTGGTACTCCTCCTGGGATTTCCCCTGGCAACCCCCCTGGTACTCCTCCTGGGATTCCACCTGGCAATCCCCCTGGGACTCCCCCTGGTACTCCTCCTGATACTCCCCCTGGTACTCCTCCTGGGATTCCACCTGGCAATCCCCCTGGTACTCCTCCTGGGATTCCACCTGGCAATCCCCCTGGTACTTCACCTGGTATTACTCCTGGTACTCCTCCTGGGATTCCCCCTGGTACTCCTCCTGGGATTCCACCTGGAAATCCCCCTGGGACTCCCCCTGGTACTCCTCCTGGTACTCCTATAGAGATTAACACAAATATATTGAAATAACACGCACTTTCAGTCAAACTTAAAGACCACTGGTCATTCACACATGAATAGAGAAATAAGTGGTGGTCACAGGTTCTCACCATATTTAGGAGGCTTAACTCTAGCTCCAAACCCTGGTCAAGAAGACATTAGAATAATGAAAAAAAGCACCTCTATAGCACTGGTGGTCAACATGCTTTGCAGCAAAGAATTTCTGTTATCTATGATGTCTGCTTATCTGTACTTCAGATACAGTGTTATGACAGGAAAAAGTAGAGATCAGGAAACTGTGGACCACCCCAAAGAAAAGCAAGCTGCCAGACCAAAATACCCCTCTCCTTGTTGTACCTGCAGTGCCGATTCCAGTTCCCGGTAATAGCCCTGGGACAACCCCCAGGCCCGCAACTCCAGTGCTCGGCAACCCCCCGATCCCCCCTGGCACGCCTGTATGGGGGGGCAAATGCCACAGTGGAACATGCATTTGATTTTATCTGAAGAGAGTTAAAGGTGCCATAGAATGAAAATCTGATTTTACCTTGGCATAGGAGAGCCCGGTACATGGAAATGATGTACTATGAATCTCAAACACTGTTGTTCCATCTTTCACATATAATTCCAGAATTTATAGAAGAAGGCCGTTTCGAAATTCCTAGATTGTTACGTAACAGTCTTAATCATACCCCCAAACATAACACATGCCAGGCCACTTTAGAAGCTCAATAGACACGCGCATTCAGACTACAACAGTTGCACAGGTACTGTGAAGGATGAAGCGGAGGATGAAAGTGAAAATGGCAGGCTGTATGCATAGTGTGCCGTTCAAGGCTGTGATGGGGATGTCGGCACTTTTCATTCCCTTCCCAAGGAACCCAGCTGTCAATAGGCAGGGCTGATGCTCATCTTTAATCTTTAGGTCAGGGGTCTGTTTTCCAAAGGCTCTCCATAGCAGCTTACATAGCTGGAACCATTCAGATGCATAAATCTGAATGCTAATTATGTTGCTAACAGCTATTCTTGGGAAAACGTTCCCCAGTTTAGCAAGGGAGTCGTAAAACAACATCACAAAGCCTATGATACTGACAGTAATGTGAGCCTTCTGTACTTCCTGTAGCCTACATCTTGTTAACTAAACAAATGTCTAATTGATATTACAGTAAAGAAATGAAAGCAGAACTCCAGATTCATTACAAACACATTTACAAGCTGCTCAGTTGCTGTATGGAGTTCTTGATGAAACGGGCATGACGAAGCTAGTATTGTAAAAGCATCTGTTGCGTAAGATGAAAAATAATTTCAATGCTCTTGTTACAGTACAATGCTGAAAACAAAATTCTGACTATGCTGAGGTTGTGCCTTGGCTGAAGTGGGACTATTACAGTTACTGACACCAAATTGTTCCAGGAAACATTAAATTACAAAACTTACCACTCAGGATCATTCATTTGCAATCTGCGAGCAACTAGCTGTTCCTCAACATCTGATTATTTCTCTGATACAGGCTCAAACATATATGGTTGGATGCCTAAACGCTTCATGTTTCACCTCATCTGTAGTGATCTATGTTGGTTCAGTGTGAGCCATTGCAGTGCCTCTCTGTAACCCAGCCAATCACAGCAGAACTTATGAAAATATTAATGAGCCCACCAAATAAGGTAAAACAGCCTGTTTCATTCTTGGGCCAAATTACTGGGTTGTAAATGGGCCTGTAAAACCACTTCAGGACACTTTTCAACCAAACCAAGTTCAAATATCTTTTATGTAGACACCAGAGAACAATTTGGAGAAAAAATGAATCAATGCATTCTATGGCATCTTTAAATACTCATAAAAAATAAAATGAAAAAACTCTGTGTTCAGTGCTGTGTTTAGGGACAAAGCTTTCAGTTACAAGTTATTACCATATTTTGGAGGCTTGGCGCCAGCCACCTGCCCTGTAACAGAAGACAGAGGAAAGAGACGTGATATTTAACTTGACACCAATATTGATGTATGCTTGCATTACACATACTCTACATGTATTAATTAGTATGTTGGGTTATTCTGGTCTTAATTGCTCTGTAAATTGGCAGTATTATACTCGGTAATCTGCCCCCACAGCTCACCTCCAGGGAGAAATCCTGCCCCAGCCAGCCCTCCTGCCCCGGCCAGCCCTCCTGCCCCAGCCAGCCCTCCTGCCCCGGCCAGCCCTCCTGCTCCGGCCAGCCCTCCTGCCCCGGCTATGCCAGTGCCAGCACCTGGGAAAACATCAAAGAGTGAAATCAGTGGGAAGACAACGAAAGATGATTATATACACTAATCAGCCAGCGTTTCATAATTAGCTACTAGAGCTGATGAAAGATGGTTGACTCAATTCAATTATCTAATTATCCACTAGCCTGCAGAATGTCTTTTTCAATCAGAAGTCAAGTTACTGTTTTCCCGTCATATTACACTCATTGCTGGATGAATCGTTACCATATTTAGCAGCTTTGGCCAGAGCTGCAGCCACCCCTTGAGCTCCCATACCTGGAGAGATAGAGAATGATAACACCACTTCCTTTAACATCCCATAGCTAAGGAGAACTACATTAGGTTTTCCTAATGAGAGACAGGTCACTGGATCATCAGTGCTAATGGAAATTCTTTTGCTGCACAACACTGCAAATGTTCTCACAGAGATACATTACCAGTTCCAGTGGGATACCCAGGCTTGGCTCCTGCCGCACCTCCAAAGCCCCCATAACCTATGATGTACACACACAATGTCCGAATGACCGTGGTTAGCTCCATCCATTGTGGATGCTGTATATCTAAAAGTTTTTAGGCACTGGAGACAATGAAGGCTACATACCATAGGGGAGCTTGCCCCCGCCAAACTGTGCTCCTAAACCACCTGCGAGGAACAATCCAGAACGTAGTCAGTCTGTAAATCTATGTACAGCTTCCTGTTAATGTGACCTTTGTCACAATGTACAACAAGCAGCAGCAATTCTCTACCGTACAAGCAGCTAGAAAGTTGCTTCCTATGATTCACTGTTCACCAATGACGTGTTACTATAGTTGAGTGCTTGAGTCCTTCTTTATTTTGACACGTGTAACCAATGCATATTTATGGTGATCTGGAGGGTTAATAATTTTACACAGCCCTTGAGGTGTGTGGAAAAATCACTCAGCAGGCTTTTAGGGCAAATCAGAAAACACAGAAAGGGCTAATCTGTTTCCAGACCAGCAGCTGTGGTTTCACAGAATGGCACAGTCTGGAGTGATCCAGTCACTGAACTCCAAGGTAACTATCACTGCAGGGGTCCAAGTATCATGGATATCATTGAGTCCAAGCAAGCTTAAATCCTGTGATTAAGATAAGCCTTGAAATTCTACTGCATAGTTAGGGTTTATGCAGCTGTAAATCACCACAAACTGGAATTTGCCCCAAATTATTCAAGAGTCTACAGCAACCAGTTGTTGGTGTCACATTAAACAACTTTAAGTTAGTCAAGTTAATTTTCTGTGTAACAGATACTTTGAAGATTATTTTGCATAATTAAACCTAATCACTCAGCAAATAATTTCAGAGACATTACAGAGTAGTGTTGGAAACTTCTGAAAAGCAATCAGTGTGATTTGTCAGTCCAGTCAGATATGCACTGTTGATACATTAGTCTTGAGTGGAGGCCCATATGGAGTCAGGTGTCTATTCAAAAGACCCCCTTTAACAACTCGTCCCAACGAGATGCGTCTGCTTGGCCAGGGCATTCAACTGAAATCATCTGCAAGGCCTCAATAAATGCTTGACAGATAATTCATTCCAGACCAAACAGTGATAATCCCTGAAGAGGGAGCTCTTCCTAGCAAGGAATCTATATACCGAATAATCAGCGATAATCCTGGAAGAGGGAGCTCACTCTAGCCAGACTTTTTGAATTAGTACCTCACACTTATCAGCGATAATTTATTGAAACTTATGCTCTATCAATAGGGTAAGTCACTACAAAAGTGTCCTGTGTGTGTCCATCAACTGGTGCAGTGGTAGTCTCTCGGGACGAAGGACACGACTGCAAGAGCGATTAATACCAACACAGCCACAGACTAGAATTTGTGTGACTCCGGGTGGTGTCCGGTCTCTGTTCTGAACAATGTTCAGAGAGAAAAGGAAGGTAGCATTCTGGTGTTCAGGACCATCACTTGTAAGACTGACAGTCAGTTTCATATGTTTCAAAGGAAACACTTTACTGACTTCAAAAAAAGAGAGCCACCATCCTTTTCAGCACCATAAACCCAACACACATATCCTCAGGGTGGTACCCAAAATACCCCTCATTCCAATATCCATAACAGGCCTCAGACTGTCTGCAAAGGGGGAAGGAAACTACAGCTGACCGGATTAAAGACTTTGATCACATGTTGGCATTAGTCAGGGTTAGTACTGAAACACAACCTGGATTATAAAGACCTGACCAATTTTATTTGTAATAATAAAGACAAAGCTTTCAGTTACAAGGCATCCAGAGTAGAAACTCACAAACTTATTAAAGTTAACTCTACTACTGAATGACATTTGAAACTGTCACCAAAAACCCACAAACACACTCATTTTCCATTTCTCTGCTCCTACTGATGCTGTTTCCCACACTCTATATTCTGTTTTATGAGATAAAGCAATCAATCAGTTGTCCGCCAGACTTGACGCATTTACGTAATTTCCCGCCAGATACAGCACCTTGGGCTTTGGGTGATTTGATGGGGTATCCATAGAAGACTCCCGGCTGCCGTGGGCCTCCATATCCACGACCTCCTGCAGAGAAACACACGTCCACACTGTCTCTGATAAGTGCTCAAGACTGCCTGTCTATGACCTACAATGCTTCCTGCAAATCAAGGTATTTACCATTAAGTCCATATCCCGCAGGTCCCTGCAGCCCTGTCCCAGGAACTGAAGGGGAGTAAAGCCATAAAAAGTTAGGCAGAGTCAACACAATGAGTTTTCTTTTCTACATTTCCTTTCCTCACAAGGATAAACTGTCTAACTTTTGTCAGAAGGCATTGAAACTCACTCACAGGGGCAATCGACCAAAGGCCAGCACAAAGCCCAACTGTGCTTGGTTGATATTTTCTCCTTTATTTAAAATTGATTTTCATGTTTGTAAGAGATTCAGCGATGACTGCGATGATTAAATTTGTCTGGTTCATAATGCCGGTTTCAATTGAATTACACCAAACAGAACACACAGCAGGAATGTCCAGTCAATCCATCCTCCACAATGTACAATTGTGTGTGGTGGCTTTTTCATCTGCCAGTGAACTGCAGTACAAAACAGCGTGTACAGTTTCGTGTGCCTGGGGCAGGTCAGCTCAGTCCCCTTACGTGATTTGGGTTTCAGTCCATCCCCCGTAGCTACACCAGGAAGGACCCCCCGCCCGCCAAATCCTACAAAACACAGGAAGCACCGTGATCACTGTCACATTGTTAGTATGGCTAATTGTGTCGAAATACTCTGAAACGCATTTATTATTTAGCAAAAATGACCCACCTTGTCCAGGTACAATACCGCCTTGGTAAAGCCCAGGTACTCCCACACCTAAATGCGAAAAACAGGAAAAGGTAGACAGAAGCATCTATAGCTACCATCATGTCTATACCTATACAGTCAAAGCAAATCAGCTGTCGCTCAAACAGTGTGTATTACCCAGCAAGCACACACCACCGCGGAGCCACCTGATAGCTACGTGATGCTAGTACTCACCTGGCACTTTTCCTGGTGGCTTTGCAGCCTTCCCTCCTGGACCGACCCCTGGAAGACCAGTTTGAGGTATGACGGGTCCTAGCAGGAAGGCAATGAGAGGGGACATAGGGTGAGAATAACATGCAAGCCGTCACTCATCCCACTCTGAGCACAAGACTTAATAAAGACTTCAAGGGCCCAGCATGCTGGATCAATAACCCTGAGTCTTGCGTGATCCTTACCACCAGCAGGAAGGGCAGGGCCTCCAGGTCCCCCTGGCAATCCTGGTAATCCTGGTCCTCCAATCGCTGTTCCCCCTGCTCCGGGCCCTAACCGAACATAAGATGTGCCACAATGTCTTTTGGAGTTTGTAGTAAAATTCAGAGCGTGATAAAGGCTATGAGATGGCTGGCATTGTAAAAGAAGGTCATTTATTCATAAATGTAATTTTATCTTCCTGCTTTTCAGCCCAAACCAGTTGTGCCATGATTTTCAGTGAAGACTTCGTCTTAATGATAATAATAATACAGCAAATAATGTGAATATATAAGATATGCATTCAAGCACCGGCCTTTTCTTACGTCTTATTGAAATGCCATCCACTAAATATTCAGAAAGGATTTACTTTAGCTGGTTTGCTGGGCTGTAGAACATGTGAGGAACTGGAAAACCTAAAGGATGATCCAAAACCACACAAATCAGCCAAGGCTTCATCATTCAGGGGAGAAGAGCAAGAATTTGGCCTGATTTTCTCAAACATAGGCCATGCATGCCGACTAGGTTGGAAGACACATTCAGAAAATATTAGTCACATCAAGACTTGGCTTGGTTGAAAGATGCTTGAAAGAGTCCAGCTGTCTTGGTAACAAAGCTGAGAGGTAAAAAACACCAAGGGGAATCAAAGCTAATCAAAGCTAAGTTTGAAGGCCAGGGATGAGGCCTGCAGAAGCACAGGTCAGCAGCCCCCTTGACAGGAGGGTCCATAGTCTAGGCATCATTAGGGCTTCTCCCATTAGCTTCTCAGCAAGACCCTGGAAGCCAGGTCCTACCTTTTGGAGGCTTAGCGGCCTTTCCACCCGGACCTGGAACAAGCAGATTATAAACCACCGCCCTTTAGTACAGGGGGTAACTCATTTTGGACCTGACTAACATCCACGCTGTTTCCTCACTTGAAAGAAGCTTCCTTTTCCAGTTGTACAGCAACAGTTACAGTACAGATCCTGTTGTCAGCTCAATGACAGGGGCCTTTGTAGTTAAGTACACAAAGCTGGGGGATGCACTCAAACATTCAATCCTGTGGACCTGATTGGTGTAAAAACAAAGGTTCCGCCCAGCATACACTTCCATGTGAAAGAAGTACCACCTGCCCCTTGCTGTACCTCCCTACCCTGGTGTCCACCCCTGTAAAGACCAGTATCACCCTTCACCATCCATGCCATACCTGTTTTCCCAGGTTTCAGTCCTGCCACCCCAGCTCCGGGGAAGTATCCTCCTCCATATCCACCGTAGCCACCTAGGGGGGATGAGGAAATGGCAAATGATTCGGGGGTCTGAGCTTAGAGAGGTGGCTTGTCTGGGTTTCTGTTGCTGCCCAGTTGTTTACCTCCTGGCTTATATCCAGTGCCCAGGCCCCCAGGTCCGAGGCCAGCAGCTCCTAAACTTCCATAACCTGGAACATGGAAGAATGAGGAGGATGAAGATGATGAAGGGAGTTACAATACATAATCATCTCCAATACTAAAGGAGCACTGGCCTGTTCTCTGATTCACACTTTCACCATGCCAGTAGCTTGAGATGTTTTGCTGTAGCGTAAACACAAAATGGACCCCCCAGGAAATGCTGTGGGGGCTTGCATCTCAACTGCAAGCATCTCCTTGGCACTGAACCACCAGCGGATTTCGAACCCTTCAGGGGACATGGGGTGAAGCTTTTACAGACACTTCCAAATGGGAAAGAATGTGTTGTGGCCTCCTGCTTTAATCGAGGAGATAAGGAGGTACAACTTTTCTGGGGATGGGGGAGGTGAAGTAACATCATACGTAGCCACAGACCCCCATCCTCACAAGTTTCTGCCAAGGATTCTTCTGGAAGGGGCCTTCTACCGCAGCTGAGAATTTAAACCAATTTGGGACTCATCGGCTTCCTGGAAAAGTACCAAGCCGATGTTAGTCGAGCATTTTTTCTGTTCAGTGCTGCAGCATTGGTTCTCAAGAGCTGGAACCTCACATGGCACAGGGAGATGCGCAAAGGAACATACTCTGCTTTTCTGAAGAATTAGTCTGGATGTCCCATTAGTGCATGGAGTCTGGAACTGAGAATCTGAAACTGCCTGGTATAAGATTAAAAAGCTCACAGGGATGATCACTGGTTTGTGGGCAGCAATGCAAGGGGCAAAATGTAATTATAATATGGCTCTAAATCACGAGTTTGACATACTGCTCAAATACTTCTCAAATGTACGTCTCTTTCTAAATGTAATGAGTCTCACTTTTGGCAGTCGTATCTCATACTGGCCCAGTGGCTTGTGCAGATAAATTGGCATAAGACGTATGTCTGAAGGGATTTTGACCTAAAAGGACTGATATAAGAGATGTTCCAGTGTAGCACTGGTTCACCAGGTGTGGTAAACCATCAGGACAGCATCTGTCCACCAAAAACCAGAGACCCTGATGAACTGTGTGCCATGATGGAGTGCAAGTGTGTGGAAGCAACAGACAAGGGCCCCATAAAACACAGTGGAAGGTGGGCCAAGCAAGGCAAGGCATTGCAAGTAGCTTGTTCAGCCCTGTGGAACGAAGGAGAATTATCACACCTTGCAGCCCATCCAAATCCAAGAGCAGCTTATGATCCAGAGTATGGGAGCCGTTGCTGGTTTTTGGAACAGATGTTGGTGATTGCAACGGCCATTATATCAAAATAACTCGCCTATCATTTGAATCGATGTGAAATATGAAACATAAGATGCAGACTCTTCAGTTTCTCCGTGTCAGAGATGCCAAGGTTTTGCCAGTCGACCATCTGATTGGCTGCGACAGCTTTAACCACGGACTTCTATGGTCTGCTGCTACAGCCAGCGGACCAATATATTCATGGACACGGGGCGTAGTGAAGATGATGACGTCTTAAATAAAGCGACCTGATTGGCTGGTCTGAGTCCACTGGAAGCCTGACAAATTTGAGACAAAAGCAATGAGTGATGTAGAATAACATGGCCAAGAGACATAACAGTACAGTACAAAGAGACAGACAGACTTGAGCCTGGGAAAGCAGCCTGTTCCCTATAATATATACCAGCTTTTAAATTTTTTTTGGTGAAATTAAAACTGCTGTGTGTTGCGTTCTGTGCGAGCAGGCGAGCGGACAAACAAGCGATCCAGCCGGGAAGGAAGGCAAATGGGGAGCACACGGGACAAACGTTAATGACTGATCTAAGGTGATGGACGAAAACGCGGACTAAATACACAGAATAACAAGCAGGAAATGGAAAACAGCAGGTAAACGGAATGAGGTAGGCGTGGTCCACACGAGGGCTGAACGGGTGATCGTGACACTCTGGCAGTTTTTTCTCAGATTTCTTGATGCAGAAAAGTGGGATCCAGCATTAAACAAGCGATGATGGTTGATTAATGACTTGAGAAACCTTACAGCGCATTATAGGTCATCGAGGACGACTCAAGCTGATGCGGCACGTGCAACAAATAGAACAGCAGAGTCAGAAGGTTCTGTAGACTCCATGCTGTCTGTGTGTTGCATTGCACTGAAACCTCACACTGAATACCCATGTTTCTCCATCAGGAAGACAGGTGTGGCCATTTAATACGAGCCGTGTGAAGGAAGCTGTCATACCCAGAATGGACCTTGGGTAGAGGTGGCCCACCACTCACTTGCCAAACACTCTGTGGGCAGCTCTCCGCCATGCTGAGTAAACCGTGGCCTGGTCTCCATGATCTCCCTGAGCCCCAGAGTACAGCCACGTTCAATGAGGCACCCACACGCTCAGATGCTGCTCTCCAGCCTGAAGGATTACTACAGGCATTAATCAGGCAGACTTTCTGTCCCCGCCCCCCCCCCCCCCCCCCCCCAAGCCTGTGACAAGGTTCAGCCAATCAGACCTGAAATCTTAAGAGCTACAGAGGAACCAGGCATGAGGCTTGGACCATTACTTTTCTCCATTTTCCTGTTGGATGTGCTGGGGCTGGTGACGGATTTAATTTAAGAGAGAGGAGGATTCCAGGGCTGCCGGCCAGCTGTCTGACAGCATCCATGGCAAACCAACCACAAGCTTCAGAATCCAAAGGTGGGGTACAACCCAGAGATATTCTGTAGCATGCTAGCACAGTCCCATTGGGCAGCCATAAGCCATCACTGTGGCTGTGCTCATGACCCTGCCATGGCAGGAAGAGCACAGACTGCTGGATGAAGGATTTTTCACCCACAATCATGGCATCATCCTTGAGGCTGATGTGGGCACAGAGCCAAGCTCCTTGCCTCGTTGTCCCGTCTCAGCTGGTTCCTATCCTGCTCATCTAAGGCCGTGTGTCTCCGTGGAAGGAGACCTGTCTGCCTCGCTCTCCGTGCCCAGCCAGCTGGCCGCGTCTGCTCTGGGAGCTCGGCGCGGCGCTTTTCACTCTCCCGCTCTCCCCTGGGCCAACTGACTTCACTCTGCTTTCTCCTGACGTGAATCATTGTTAGCTGTTGTAAGCGGCCCCCAGTGCACAAAGTTTCTGTCTCTTCCTCAGGGCCAGACAGGAAGGAGTTAGTTTCACCTCCCCACACCTTTCCACTATCATCTGGGATCATCTGTTCAGCCACAGAGCACCTAGGGTGTGAGTGTGCCCTCAAGCTGTCAGCCTCATCTTCACATTCATGAACACAATGCAGCTCTCCGCATGAATCCCATTCAAAGCACAGGGTTTCCGTCTCTGCCATTTCCCAGAGCGCTGGACTGTGACTCCCTGCAGGGGGCAGCAGGGGGGGGCTGGGCAGGTCATAGACAGTCCATGTGAGATGCTCCACCATCTGAGGGGACTCCCACCAGAGCAGAAGGGTTCATGAGACCTGGTGGGAAGGTGGGGTGCCCAAGACGGCAGAAGTGAGGTCATCTATCCATTGGTTGGGTCATGTAGAACCGGCTGTGGATGAGTGACAGGATCCAAGAATCCGGATGGGCCATCGTGTGCCCCCTTCTCGTACCCCCACCCACCAAAATGGAGGGGTCGGTGCCTGGTAACGAGAAGCACATGTTCTGCCGGAGACGCACCCTCTCACGCTCCGTTCGCCCCCGGCTTGTCTCCCTGGCCTTCGTTCTGGCCCCATTGCGAAACCACCCCCCCCCCCCCGCCCCCATTTTGGAGGGTCCTTCACCTCAAATCCTAGAAAAACAGCCTTGGATGCTCTGAGCGATCCAGCATGTTCCATAGGTTTGCAATACTGCTCTGGTATGGAGCTGGATTGGAGTGCGAAATCAGAGTTGTGAGTGAGCAAGGCAATTTGAGGCAGAGTGAGGCTGAAACAGAGAGGCAGGCAGAGATGGTGGATGGAGAGACAAAAAGGGAGGAAAAAGAGGGAGAAAAATGGAAATGGAGAGAGGCAGGCAGACATGGTAGATGGACAGACAAAAAGGGAGGAAAAAGAGGGAGAAAAATAGAAACAGAGAGAGGCAGATGGAGAGACAGACTCACAGACAGATATCACTCTTGCAGCCTAGTGGTCCAGGAAGCCAACAGTGTTATCCAGGCCTCAGTCAGACTACTGTGCACTGTAACACGCCGTCATGGTGCTACACTTTGGCCCAGTGCCGAAAGGGGGCGCTGTAAGTGACACGTGTTAGTATATATAAAGTTTCCCAGTTTCCCAGTGCTTTTGGCACTGGCCCTGTGTCTAGGTCCTGTAACTGTTTATTCTAAGAGTTCTTTGTTTCACTGAGGCTGGTTTGTTTACCTGGGTGTCGTCCTCAGTGCTCGCAGTAACACACCCCCCCCATGCTCTCCTGCACAGCGACAAAACAACAGCTCATCTGTGAGGCAGTTTTATGTCCCAGGATCTTACTAGGAGTATAACTAAGGCAGGGTGGGCCATCTAGAGGTGACGAATCATCCTCCACTTTTAGAAACAGGGCAGCCATAACAGTCACAAGTGGCACTGGGAGATGATGCTGGTTTCTGTCTGCCTATCGTATATTCTGGGGCTTGTAGACCAGGGAATCATTTGCTGGACACACGTAACGCCGAAAGCTGCTCCTAGCGACCTGCTGAGACCTGCCAATGGGCCCTTCAGATGGAGTTTATGGAGCTGAGTGACTAATGTAAAAGAAAGGAGAGAGGTCACATGGGTCACATGGTTAACAGGCCCCTCCAAGTCTTATCGGCATTAGGCGCGTTCATTCTGCTCCTAATCTCTCGGCAAACACAATGGCAGCCCTGATGAAATCTCCTGTGCTTTAGGAAATTTAATAATGTCCAAATGGCCCCTGTTCTGCGATATGTGCAGCACTGGGCAGTAGGAAAACAGTGCTTACCGGGGGACGTGATAGCCGAGGTCTGTGGCAAGCTTCGAAAGCCTGGCTTCCAGTTATTGTGTGGTTAATGTTGTGAGAAGACGCCCCCCACCACCACCACCACCCCCCCTCCTCAGTGCTCAGCAGGGCATCCCTTGATAAGGCCACGAGGTCCTCTTTCGGGCCGTCGGCGGCTGAGCTCATGCCCCAAAAGAATGTCCTGTGCTGCGATAAAACATGTAAAAGCCGCAGCCGTTACGGAAAGGAGTCGCTGACAGGATGTCTGACCGCACGGAGGCGCGGCCTTGGCAGACCCCCATTGGCAAGCAGCTTGTGCTCAGAGGACACTTCCTCTTTGGGTTACTTTGGGGTATCGGCATAAAACTTGCCCCAAAAAGAGGCCGCATGAAAAATCGATCGCACCAAGGGCCCAACTCGCCTTAAACTCCGACTGTCGTAATCTTCATCTGATCCGCTGTAACCTCCTAATTTCCCTCCTGAGATCATTACCGTCTCATCTGTCATCGCTCTCTCAAATCCTGCATTCTGATACAGCTGTTTGTGTCGATCCGTTTTCAGGCCCCCGCCTCCTGCGGCTGAATCCCCACATCATCGGCACTCCTGCCCAGTCGCTGTCATACACGTCATTCATACATTATCAATAACCGTGTTCGCCATTTGTACTTTTAGAAATGCTGTTTTATAAATGCTGTTTCTCCCCCATCTCCTTTTAAAGGGGTCAGGGAAGCATTTCAGCATTTTCCCATTGCAATTTTGTTGTTTTTTCAAGTACCCTTGGCAGAATTGCTCTAAATCGTTACATATGGCCTTGCAACAGCTGGTCAGTAAAAGAATAGTGTCGTTGGTTATGTGTGAGGAGGAGGAGCTCCTCAAGAATGCTCACCTGGTTTAGGAGGCTTTGCACCAGCACCTGTAAGAGAGCCAGTGTCAAAAATTACTGACAGTGGATGCTTTTCAAACAAGACATTTGTTAATTTAGACAAATTATCGTACCCGTCAACCCTATCCAGGGCAAGTGCTTGGAAATGGGATCGGTGAATGGATTATAACAGTTATCTTTATTAGTTTTTGCTATATATATATATATATATATATATACACACACACACATACACAGTGGTACCTCAGTACTTGAACTTAATCCGTACAGAACTCCGGATCGAATCCTAAAAAGTTCGAGTTCTGATCGAATTTTCCCCATAAGAAATAATGGAAAACCAATTAATTGGTTCCAGGCCTCAGAAAATTACACCAAAATATGTTTTTTTTGGCATTCAAACACAAAATGAACCGGATAAAACAAGAAGAGCATATACTGTACTAAACACATCTAAGCACATTTATCAAAACAGTAATTTTTAAAGTAAGAAAATAAATGTATCCAAAATAAATGTATCCAAACAATGCGTCCTGCCCCGATATATATATTCTGGTCATGTTGGGGCTTTTTGAGAAGTTGTGTAGGCCATCTCTCTGAGACCTTGCTCTTACCTGGCCCGATCCCAGCGCCTCCAAAACCACCCAGGCCACGGCCACCAATGCCACCTGCACGGGAACATGCCAGCTTGGCTCACTTCCTTGCATCATTCGCCCCTTCAAGTCAGCGCCTACATTTCCTCCGTAAATCGCATGTTTGTGAAGTAACATCACTGCCTGACCAAACAGCCAGTCCCTCTAGGGAGGATGACGAGTTGTAGTATTTCACACTACACTGATATCTAGTTGTTACTGTGAGGTTTCACCTGACTGCTCTTTGCTTACAGCATTCAAGTCAGCCCTGCGGCCAGCCAAATAAGACCTGGAGAGCCTTGTATTAGACTGGAGTAGGAAATATCACCATTACTGATAAACACATTTATTTATGGTAACTTTGTTGTTTTGTGTGGTGTAACACAGGTACAGCAGAGCCTGGTGAACTTCTTGTAACCCTGAGCACCTCTGCTACTGGTGATATACGAGGCCAAGGCTGTGGGGAACCCTGCAGAGCCAGCTCTGGGTGGAGCCCGCACGAGTCAGGAGAACTTCACCACACTCACTGCTCTAGAGCTTGTGAAAAATGTTACAGATGCAAACTCACCCCCAGCCTTTGCCTGTTTGTATCCTGGAATCACTCCAGCACCTGGCGAAACAGAAAGTGGGGGAGAAGATGGGGACAGTGGCCCTGAACAGACGACAACATGTTTCAGTCAACCCTTCCTGAGATTCTCCTTGGTCCAGAGTCTGGTTTCCTCCATCTTACTGTGCGTGTAGTATCTGGTTTCCTCCATTTTACTATGTGCGTATAGTGTCTGGTTTCCTCCATCTTACTGTGTGTGTAGTATCTGGTTTCCTCCATCTTACTGTGTGTGTAGTATCTGGTTTCCTCCATCTTACTGTGTGTGTAGTGCCTGGTTTCCTCCATCTTACTGTCTGAGTAGTGTCTGGTTTCCTCCATCTTAATGTGCATGTAGTGTCTAGTTTTCTCCATAATACTGTGTGTGTAGTATCTGGTTTCCTCCATCTCACTGTGCGTATAGTGTCTGGTTTCTTCCATCTTACTGTGTGTGTAGTGTCTGGTTTCCTCCATCTTACTATGTGAGTAGTGTCTGGTTTCTTCCATCTTACTGTGTGTATAGTGTCTGGTTTCCTCCATCTGTGTGTATAGTGTCTGGTTTCCTCCATCTTACTATGTGAGTAGTGTCTGGTTTCCTCCATCTTACTGTGTGTATAGTGTCTGGTTTCCTCCATCTGTGTGTGTAGTGTCTGGTTTCCTCCATCTTACTATGTGAGTAGTGTCTGGTTTCCTCCATCTTACTGCGCATGTAGTGTCTGGTTTCCTCCATCTTACTGTGTAAGTAGTGTCTGGTTTCCTCCATCTTACTGTGTGAGTTGCGTCTGGTTTCCTCCATCTTACTGTGCATGTAGTGTCTGGTTTCTTCCATCTTACTGTGTGAGTAGTGCCTGGTTTCCTCCATCTTACTGTGTGTGTAGTGCCTGGTTTCCTCCATCTTACTGTGTGAGTAGTGTCTGGTTTCCTCCATCTTACTGTGTGTGTAGTGCCTGGTTTCCTCCATCTTACTCTGTGAGTAGTGTCTGGTGGTCCCACAGGACCAATAGGTAGAAAAGTGCCCATCAAATATGGCTGTGTTACGGAAGGAAATTATTACAGAAAGTTAAATATTACAGAGAAGGACTGCAGGGCGTGCTCTGAGTGTTCTGCATGGGTTCGGGCACCCGTGGGTGGAAATGTAGGCAGTCAGCTACTCCTTCCATGGAGATATCTTCAGATGTGGTGTGAGGATGGAGGGGTCACCGAGGGGTCACAGGTTACCTGGGAATGGCCCGACACCAGCTCCACCACCGGCGACACCACCCGGACCAACTCCACCTCCGGGGGGGACGTACACTCCTGGAACAGGTGGAGCGGCAGTTATGATGCTGGATGCTCTCCCAATTACCTGCCATCCATCCATCCATCCATCCATCCATCTATCCATCTACCCACTCATCTTCTAAAAGATCATGAATTTTAGGGTGATGGGGGCAGGGGGCCTGGAGCTGATCGCAGGCAGGGGAACACCCTGAATGGTATGCTGGTCTGCTTCAGTAAAGGTCAACAACAAAATAATGTATTTTTGTTTTTGTTAAGCAGCTGAAAATAAGGGTCAGTTGGAAAAAAAACAAACTCTCACACTCTTATCTTAAAGACTGTGATTAGCTAATACCCCACTTTTCAGGAAAATAACTGGGCTGTAAGTATTCTACACTAATCCCCAAAACACTTACTTCCATGTAAGGCCAGTCTCAGAATGGTCAACATGACCACATCATGGCTAACTGCAATGGCAGCCAGACAGGGACAAAAACAAGTTCTATTGTCTAACTACTTCGTTTGAGTTAAGGCATCAATTACAGGACAATATTAAGATGAAACCTAGTTTATATAACAGAAAATGGTGATTGAGATTGTTTGTAATATGTTCTCCATGTCCATGTGAAGACTGATTCATCTGAGCCACATGTCAAAAACTTGCAGATGAATATGAATAAAAACCATATCGGCTTTGCTGGAAGCACATTGTGCTGGGTGCAGGGAGACATGTCAGTGTCAGGGTTGCCATAGGAGTAGAATCCTAATCTATGGCTCACAGCATTTATAGCTGGGGCGGCAGGCTTGGTGCACACGAGTACACACAAGGCTGGGCCCCAGCCCCGGTGGAACTGGCCCAGAGCCATGGTCTGTCCGCTGCTGCATATGGAAAGTGACCTTTTCATCAGGAGCCATAGATGTGTTGGGTCATAGACTGCCAGATTAGAGAAGATCTGGGCCTCATCTGGGTGGGCTGGTACACGGGATCTAGGGTATCTACGGTCATGTTTTGTTTGTTATATACAACAAGGTTAAACAGAAACACGACATCCAGGGAGCACGTCTGAGATTAAGAACAGCTGGAGGCAGTCGGCAGAAGTTCTGGTGCGGATGCGGGGTGGTCAGGCCTGGAGTGGACAGAAGTAGCTTTTCGCTTGGAAATGGGAGCAAGGTTTAAACAGCGTCAACCTGCGCGCTGGCCAGTGGGGGGAGCACCGTTTTGGAGATGACAGAGATCAGACAGACACATGGACATAAAAGGGCTGTATGAATAGACCCCAATCTGATTAGAAAAGAGTCAAATATTTAGTCTATCTTTTCTGTTTTCCCTCTGTGGTTAATCTATTTTTATCCCCTGCACTGTAGCCAGTCAGCAGAAGAGAAGCGTCCTCGGGATTGTTGTGTAAAATACTTGATAAAATGTAAACGAGCCTTTTTAAGAGCAGAAGGGCTTCACTGCTTCAGACAGTGGGTGAGTTTACAGTACATTTCTGGACGCATCCCTGGGTAGCAAATGACTTCACCACTGAACCCTTAAAGGAGGATGTTCCCGAACCAGTTTTAATTGGAACAGTGGTGGGCCTTGGACTGTGACTGAGGTGCTATCTGGTTTCATGCCGCACAGGCTGAAGATATGAACTCCCGGCTTTCGGATCAAAACCACACATAAGGTTAGGCAGAAAAGCACAGCACAGCACACAGGACTGCAACACAGCTCTAACAAAAAAAAAAGAAGATCTGTTATTTTAACAATCGTGCAGAAGATGATTTCTACATCATATTTGTGAATTCCAAAAAACATTGAACTACTTATATTAACGTGTGTTTGCCTGACAATGAGCTGTATTCCTGTTTATCCAAGTTAATTTCTCTGGTGCAGTTAATACAGAATGAGCATGAAGACCAGACTCTCAACAGGACTCCAGTGAAAGTGACCACCACACTGCAAACATGCGGTCTTTACACTGCGCACATCTGGTTACCATGGTAAACAGAATTCACTTGCCTAAAGAGGAGCTTTTGAAAGTCACAGGAAGTGTTCTTTGCTTGTTCGGACAGCCAGTCAGGAAGTCATCCCCGGGTCTCGAACAGACTGAAGCTCTTTGTCAGGAACTGTACCCTCCCTACTGCTGGGGATCGCTCCCTCTGCCCTGCTGCCTCTGCTGCCCTCTTCATGACAATTATGCTGGGGGGGGCACTCCAACCAAGTCTATCTCAGCTGAGCTTGGAATGAAAAGGTGGATTTCATGTCTCTGAGTCAGTCACAGCACAGAGAGCAGGTTCACTCCCACCCTCTGCTTGCCCCCCACCCCCCCACCACACACACACCCACACGGGTCTTTCAGGGGGCTGATGTACTCCACAGAGCATAGTTAGCCAGGTCCTGGGCAGTATTTAATTAGAGCCTGCTAGCCTTTCAAGATTCCTGTATTATCTTTAATCAGAAGATGAGTCTGTAGATGAGGGTGTAGCAACATTTATTATGACTAAGTTACTAAACTAAATTAAAATAAAATATAAATAAAAACTACTTTGCTGTGTTAGTGAAAGTCACATGGGGTCAGTTAAGCCCCGGAGTGAACTTTACCTGGAGGTGGTCTTTGCGTGCCTCCTTTCTCACACAGAAGCCCTGCAGTCTGCTTCATCAAACCAGGCTTTTGTCCCGTTACCCCATAACAATCCTCCATTGTTGTGAGAATAAACAAGCACATGCGTCTTATTTATAGTTTGATAAACACATGTGGAGATGGATGCCGCAGCGATCTGTTTACAAGCCTTGGCATTAAGGTGGACAAACACTGATACGTTTACTGGCCGCAAGCTAATAATTTAGCAGATTTATTATTCATAAACCCGTTTAAATGGGGGGGGGTGTCATATTTCATTCAAGCACGTTTTGAAGTGAAGGGCATGCACGCTCGTGCTGTTGCCCACTTGAAAGCCCAACGGGGTGAATCAGTCGGAAAAGGCCTGGGCATTCTGACATGGTTGCTCTCCCTCACCATGAAACATCACAAACTCATCAGCATCGCCCATTTAGCGGTATTACCTCCTGAATCACAGAGAGGGCACAGTACACGGACTGGACAAGCCTCCAGTCTAACCAGCTGGCCTCGCAGTCATGGCTCTCTACATGTTGGCAGGTCATAAAGTCAGATCTGTTCCCAATATGCGGTAATTGCACAGGCAGGGGCAAGTGAATGTTATTAAATGCCACATGCCAAGCGAACACCACCAAAGGGTAATTTCCAAGATCGCTCCCCGCACTCAAAGCGTCGAGCAAGGAGGCTATGCAATCTGGTAATTTGGAGTGGCTGCTAACAGCAGTCCAAAGCCAGCATCTGAAGGAGAGGTTAACTGGCTGTTTAAGGTAACCTCAAGCTAGCATCTGGGGGAAAGATTAACCAGCTGTTTAAGGTAACCTGAAGCTACGATCTGGGGGAAAGATTAAGCAGCTGTTTAAGGTAACCTGAAGCTAGCATCTGGGGGAAAGATTAACCAGCTGGTTAACGTAACCTGAAGCTAGGATCTGGGGGAAAGATTAACCAGCTGTTTAAGGTAACCTGAAGCTAGCATCTGGGGGAAAGATTAACCAGATGTTAAAAATAACATATGACTAGCATCTGAAGGAGAAATTAACCAGTTGTTTAAAGTAACTTAAAGCTAGCATCTGGAGGAGAGATTAACTGACTGTTGAAGGTAAAACGATGTGAACGATGCTTTTGATGGACATGAAGCTTCTCTGAATATACAGACACTTCACAGCTGGGGAGACTTTCCTAAGGCGAGAGTCTCAGCTGGAGCCCAGTGCCATGTACCCAGATAGGGCGTTTTACACCAAGAGGGTGCAACACACAGCAATCAGGAGGAAAGTGCAGCAGAACCCAGAGCTAGCCTGGCACAGCTGCAGCTGGGGAAGTGTGAATGCAGCACACGGCAGCCACAAAGAGAGGAGGCGGGGAGGGCGGTGCGCCGTCTGCAGAAAGGGGGCGTCACGCCACACCGCGCCAGTGCCTGAGTGTGGCTGCTGACCCGAGGCTGAACGGCTCAGGTTTCCGGACTCTGCAGTTGGGTTTAAACAAAGTGAGACGTCTGAGATGAAAGGAACGCAGGAGAGAAAGGCTGCCTGCTTGGGTCACCCTGTGGGCCCTCGTGCGCGACACTTTAAATCACAGCACATTTACTCCTTGAGGAATTGCACACAATCACAGTGACAGCTTAGCGAAGGAAGCAAGCGCCGTCTGCAAAGCAGACCCCTATCGCCAGTGTGCAGGCTGACTGTCCAACCTGCTGGCTCTTCTCAGAAACTGTAAATGGGGGGGATTAATTTTAATACGGCTTCAGAAGGTGAGTCTTACTCAAGCTCTGGATCCTTCTGGATAATATCTGCGGGACGCTGTCGGGGTGACATGGGAGCCGCATGCTTTCGGGATGAGAATGTTTTGTCATGGGGGTCCTGATATCTATTTCACAACAGTCACTGTGAATGAGGAGATGGACAAACACATTTCTCTGATTCTGGAGAGAACCAGACAAACAAAGCAGGATTATTCTGTCGTCAAGGAGACAGTCCCGTCCAAGCAAGCGGGGCTGAAAGCTGATGTCTGGAGGGACCTACAGAAAGCGCCATTGTGCCATAATCTCCATTTCCGGCCTTATTTTTGTTGGGCTGAATTAAACTTGCCCCCCCCCCCATTTTGGGTTTAGGTTATTTAGACCGTCCTACTTCATAAGACAGAGAAATGTCTTGATGTGATTCACTAGGTCATGAGACTTAAGCCAAGAATTACTGGCAGGATTAAACAGAGCAGGACTGGAGACGTAAACCACAGGACATGGACCCCCACCCGCCCCCCCCCGCCCCGCCCCTCCCATGACCCTGGCAGGTGCTCAGAGAGTTAAGTACATCAAACTCATATCTAAGCAGCCTTCATTTGATTTCTATCACTGTGATAATAAGGCAAAGGGCAGTAATAGGAAATTACTAAGACAAGTGGTTTTTAGCTGTTGCATACATACAAGAAATAAGGCAGGCTGGAACAGTGAAAATTAACAGAGCCCACTTTGAAACATAAACAAGGCTACAGGGTGGTCTCTCGGCTCAGCAAAACAAACTCTGAACGGGGATGTAAGGCTGAGGTCTCCCTGGAGTTGCATGGCCTCAGTTCACTTCAGTTTCACGTGGACGTCAGGAAATTCTATTAGCACAAACATCAAACATAATTAATGCATGGAAGGACATGCTGGGAAGCTGCCATCAGCTGTGCATCACATGGCCCATCTTCCATGCCCTGACCTGGACTTATGGGCAGGTGTCTATATGTAAAGCTAAGCCACACTTGGTCTATGACCCACTGCCTTAACCCAATGGCCACACTGCACCACACCCACAGAAGCTTCTGACCCTGAACCTTCCAGCAGGTTGGAGGTTGGTTCTTGTTTAACCCATTAGATGGATCTGCCATTGGGAGAAAGTACAAATAAGAACCTGATGCTAGAGAAATAACTGCATTTTTATTCTGAACATGTGGACATTGGCTCAGATCAAACATTCCCAAACATTCCCCACCTGATTTGCCTTCTCTGATCATTCCAAAGATGCAGGAAACAGCCTAAGTGGCTTGCTAATCAGGGTGGCCCGACACACCAGGGCAGGGGACCGGAGTCAGCACGCTGTCCCATCGGGGTCAGATTCCACCCCTGGTGCTTAGACAGAGATGGGATATCAGGCCCATCTAGGCTGCTCACTCCTTGGTTGCCCGCTTGGCTCCAAATAAGCTGCCTGCTTTAAATGTTCCACTGTGCTTCATATTTGGCAGACTTGATGAGGGCCTAATATTTTAGCGAGGGCACGCATAAAAAGCCGTGCCTTAGACGGGCACCCACCCCTCAGTCGGCTGCCAAAATGAAAACAGCGCGAGCCGTTCTATTACCGACCCTTCATCACACCTATAAATTTCCTTCTTATTTAAGCGTTAGATCATTATGGTTGTCTCACTTAAAGAATTAATGAGGTATGTATTTGCCAGCAGCCATTGATTAACTTGGAATGAGTGCCTATTGTAGGTTTTTCCAAATCCATCTTTCTAAAATGTACGGTGAAAGTGTCATTCTAAAAGCCAGTAATCTAACGAAATCCTTTGAAACTCTAACCATATGCAACCCTAAAAATGAGACATGGCACATCTGTAGGGTGCTCAAACCATTCATACAGTTGTTGCACACATGACTGAGACTCACTCCCTGGCACGCTCCAGGAGGCTTAAACACGACACCACACGATATAGCCCATCCTTTAAGGACCCTTCGCTGCAGCTATGACTGGGCGTCAGGCCGACGGCACAGACCGGGACGAGTGTCGGCTCGTGATCTGTGGAATCAAGGTGCTGATTTTTATGGTCTTTCAACAGATTTAAAGAGAGACATGCTTGTCCCGATGTCACGGAAACAGGTGCTAAATCTCTGAGTTTTATAAGTGCATATGTGAAAGATTGCTGCTGAGCAATTGGTGTTCAGGTTGGCCTGGAAACCCAGTGGGGGGGGGAGGGGGGGATCATGAGGTTCTACCCACTCCAGCAACCAGACATGCCATGAAACGGTTGCTGCCTTAATGGTGAAACGACAAAGCCATCTCCAGTACCAGGGCTTCAGAGCTAGGTCGTCATGAATGGCACATGTGTTGAGCTAACCATGTTGAAAATGGACTGGTCAAGAAATGCACCACAATCCCATAAAAGGCAGGGAAAAATTAATCAAAATCCTGCTTGACAGCAGAGGTGTGCCACTTAATCTACTGCAACTGCCTTCAACTCTGGCCATATGCAAGTCAGCGGTGAGCAGGATTAACGGCTGAAATCGCTCAGACGCCAGTAACATGGGCAGCCAAGCCATGCCTGAAGGGGGTGCCAGCTCCCAGCACACCCACCCACTCGGGAAGCCACATCTCCTTTTATGTTACTGTCTTTTACTTGTCAAGTTCGCTTAACAGGCGCCTGTTGTCAGAAAACAAGTGCCTTACTGACTCTGGGGCCAGCATAATTGGAACAGTACCATCCTCACATTGCACAACTAGACTGAGGTATTATATTCTATTATGAGCCCAGGAAAAACACAGAGCCTCTTCTCTACGGTATCTCACTAATAAAATAGGCCAAAAGGTGCAACGTCCACAATTTTACGTGAGCGTGACCTTAAAGGAGCTGAAACTGAGCACTAAGGATCAGGTTTTCATTTTAAAATAATGGATGTAATTGCAGGGAAAGCCGGATTATGCACAGGGTCCAGTAACCATTAGACAAACGGCTGGGTTTGGTTCAGGTTCAAATGCTAAAGGTGCTGTCTGAATGAAATTCTTTGGTAACTGTCCAACTGTGTTAGATAATAAATTATGACATAAATACAACTAAAACACAAATTAAAAGATTAAATGGAGCTGGACAATGAACATGCAGTCTCCCCTAAGACCTCTCCCATCTATTTGCTCGGCCAAAGGCTGATTCTTGGTGTATTGTCACAGCTGCGGGGAACCTAAACATGAAAAATGCACAATAATGTAGGTTTGGAAATAGAAAATGGTCTGATTTCATCTGCAAAGGTTACACCGACTAACAGAAGAGTGAGGTTTACAGGGTGGGAGCACCTGCCGTGAGTTACTGGGGAGGGAATGGTACAGGGAGTGAGGACCAGACGGTCAGGTCTGCCAGCGTGCTGGACTGCAATGAAAGCCAGAGCCGCACTATGACTGCCCTGAGGGGACACTAAGGGACTGCCCTGAGGGGACACTCCTTGACTGCCCTTAGGGGACACTCCTTGACTGCCCTTAGAGGACACTCCGTGACTGCCCTTAGAGGACACTCCGTGACTGCCCTGAGGGGACACTCCGTGACTGCCCTTAGAGGACACTCCATGACTGCCCTTAGGGGACACTCCGTGACTGCCCTTAGGGGACAATCCGTGACTGCCCTTAGGGGACAATCCGTGACTGCCCTTAGAGGACACTCCGTGACTGCCCTGAGGGGACACTCTGAACATGCACAGCTGTACACTGCTGACAAAACAGCTGCAGCAGAATTTAGCAAAAAGCAAAAACTATCCACGGTAAAATGGACAGGCAGGACAGAAATGTGTCTGGGAAGAATGAGGCAGGTTCTGCAGAACGAGCGGCAGGAGGAGAGGGTCAGGTGAGTCTCCAGCTATAAAAGGGAAAATATCTGCAAGTCACAGAGCCGAGCAGAGCGGGGCCACCCCAGCCCATACAGCTACCATAAGTCTGCTTGGCACAATTAGAAGAAATGCAAGGACACAGACAGCTGGGAAGCAGATACAACAATGAGGGCAGGCATTCAGAAGAAATCATTTGAGCAAATAAATAAATCACCATGAAATCCACCGGCCTGTCTGCAGAGTCCCAGCCAAACCCATACAGTACATGCTTTCCAGTTGGGTTTAAACAGCGGCGCCCCGCAAGTCCGGAGAACATCGGGGAGGGGGGCGGGGGGATAGTGCATGAAACTGATAAAGAAGAAACTGAAACTGGCCTTCGCTGGGCTGCTTTTAAAGACGACATTCTTTCACATCAGACCAGTCCTTTAATGCCACCCCCCCCCCCCAGATGTCCAACACCCACCTGGGACAGTATTAGGGGGGGCAGCACTATGGGGCAGCTGTGGCCATGGATACCCAGTATAAGTCAGCTAGGAGCTCCCGTGGTCTGCATTTCCGAAACCACGAACATGTCCCTGCGGAGGAAGGCTCTTTATTCCCTCTCCATACTCATTTTAAGTATTAATGACACCCACCGACGATTTCACCTCTTAATTAATCAGTAGCAATTACAAAGGTACCCAAAATCAGTGCAGCCAGTGTGATGTGACAGCATGACTTACACCTCACGGGAAATACTGAAAAATGAATGTTCAGCAGGAAAATGGCAAATGCCAGCTGAGGGCTTCGAGGAGAGGATCTGCATGCACCATGCACACGGCGCTTCTCTGCGATGGTGCGCATGACGCGCATAAGCACATCTGACCAGACGCAGATCCAAAGGTGCATGCCAGAGGGCTGCAGGTACCCAGCGTGCGACTGACGCGGTGCCCCAGAGGCTCGGAAAGATCCAGAGCCCCCCGCGCGCAGCGATCGGCTCAACGGGGGGTGGGACCTGGTCAGCATTGGCCAGGACTGCATTAAGAACGCATCAGAAGTGTGGTTTCGATTATAAAGCCACGAAAGGGGCCGTGAGGAGGATATCTGGAATCTGAAAGGGAAAAAAGACGAGAGCAGCCACAAGAAATGGGAGTGGAGTTTAAGAACTGGCAGAATTGAGAGAGAAACTGTCTTACAGATTCTTTTTATTAATAAGCACCTACGTCATGCCAAAAGCAGCAAAGGTCCATGTTCTAGATGATTGCATCCAGCTTTTGGGATATACATGGTCGCGTGTTCAGAGATGGTAGGTACAGGAAACGTAGAGCGTGATATATATGCCTTTTTATGAATAAATCCTGCCTGCTTGTATTCCCGAGTGCATGCGCGTAAAGTGCATTTCTTGAAGAGTAAAAGGCATGTGACGGGGTCACTTAGGCAGAACGCAATAAAACTGCAGAACCTCCTTTAAAATTGCACAACAGAAACTGATTTGGGGAGGGGGGGGACGCACAGGGAACAGAAAAATATGTGAGTAACTGAGAGCCAGAAAAGAGTCTGAAACCGGGCTGAAAGTGTCGCGCGGATGGGAGGCGAGCGGGACGGCGGACCGGCGAGGGAGGAAGAGGAGTGCGGAGCGGTGTGGGGCGGCCGAGCGGGAGGCCAGGTGGGAGGCGCGGCTGAGTGCACGGTCTGCGGTAAGATCTCCTACCTCCTTGGAGTGAAGGTCGATACAAAGCGAGGAAGAGGAATCCGTGAAGCAGAAGAACGACCTTCCTGCTAGCCATCTCGCTCCAAAATGCGGCGGCCCTCCCCCGACCAGCTGGTTTTATCCCCCACCAGCTAATTACCACTTACCCAGGACTTCAGGGACTGAAAAAAAGAGGACGAATGGATGCTGGACGCGACGTAATTAGGAGAGAGCGAGGTCTCCGCTCACTGGATGATTTTGCTTTTTTTCTGCCCTATGTCTGCTGTTGCTGTTTTTGTTCTAGTCTTTCCTGCCAACAAAGTTTGCTGCCAGAGACAGAGGGAGCGAGGTAGAGGGAAAGAAGGAGAGAGAGGGAAAGAAGGAGAGAGAGAGAGGGAGAGAACCTGGCCTCCCCACCCGTAAGGAGCTGCACTGTATGTTAGGGGGGCTTATCTCTTTAGGTAATGGGAAAGCAATGCTGTCAGTTGAGCTGATTAACACTTTATAACCAGTTGTCCTTTTCCTGCTGGTAGGATGGTAGGAAGCTGAGGGGGGGGGGCAATTTTGGGGGTACCATATACCCGAGGGACCCGCATTACTGACAGGGGTGTGACAGGCTCAGGCAGAAACACCTCTGGCTGTCCCACAGCACCAAAGAAGCGGCATGGCTTCCGGATGAATTCACGAGCTCAGGGGACCCTTGTCGCTGTCGCTTCCTTACACACCAGGAGGGGTCAGCGTAACCCTGGCATAGGAGTGTGAAACCACCCCCCCCCCCCCACCAGGCAGAGGGCAGGGCTCGGTAAAACTTGACAGTTCTTGGTAAATTGTTGCAAATTCTGCATGATTGTCTGAAATCAAAAGGGACACTTGGTAAAATTTTCCTGCTGGGGGGGGGGGGGGTCTCCTTGTTAAATTTTGAAGTGGGTCCCATTGCCCCCCCGCCATTCCCATACCTCCCCATCCGGCATGTAATGGCTGGTGGAGCCCAGAACACAGCTGATGGAGTCCTGGTCGTGTCCTTCCCAAGTGAGCCCCGAGCCTGTCTGTCTGCTCCCTGGGAGCAACAGGACGGCTGCCTGACTTGGGAAAGTGAGTCCAGCTCCACTGAAGACCCTGGGGCAGAGTGAGACAGAGTGAGACAGAGTGAGACTCACGTTACGCTTCCACCGAGAGGGGAAGGTTTAAAGGCGGAGGGCGGATTAAGCTGATCGTCTCCGTCCTCAGATGAGTCCACAGAGAGAAACCACAGACACACCAGAAATTCCAGCACTTCTGATAGATCCTCTCACACATCTGTGCAACCGCTACAGCCATCTGCAGGGCCTCTGTCTGCTTCTCCGTGAAGCTCTTGCAGGTATCTACACAGTCATGACTGCTCTCCATTCCGGCCCATCGCCGGGTGTCATTCGTTTGGCTTCGGCAGGGTTCGGACTGTGTACCGTAGCTGTTTCCTGTTTATGGCCTTCGACGTGGCTGGAGGGCACACAGGAATGGCCACAGAGGTCCGAGATGCACAGGCCATCCTTTGTTAGCTTCAAAATTCATGCGTGACGATCACATCCAAGTCATCCCAGGACGCCAGATCTTCCCCGGATTTGAGCCAATAACAGGGGAGGCGAAAATGATTTTTTAATGGCTGCGGTTGCTAGGCTGCTGTGGACTTTACATTTTTTTTGGCCAAAAGACTCACTGCATGATTCTCAGAAGAGCATCAGAAGTCAAATGCATCCCTCATCCCATCAAGAGAGGAGCACCTCCTGCAATTAAGAAACCAAACTGACCTTACGCTGTAAAGCAGGGGTGTCAAACTGCAGTCCTGGGGGGCCGGAGCCCTGTGTAGCTTAGCTCTTTTCCTGTTCTACCACAAATGATTCAGCTCAAGAGTGACGTGGTAATTAGCACAAGGAGTTGAATCAGGTGTGTTGAATGAGGGGAAACCCAATAATGTGCAGGGCTCCGGCTATAAAGGCAACGTCCTCACACAACTCCTGACCCTGAAACGGAGAAGAAAAGCAAGTTTATTGGAACCGCTTCTAAAATTAATGTTCCCTAATTATTTTAGACCTCTGTCAAAGCTTACTTTCTAGGGTTTCCCTCATACATGCCCTTTTATATTCCCTTTCCAAGAAATGTTGCAGAAGCGTCGTGAGTAGACTTTTAACTGATGCGTATGTGGAAACCACAACGGTAACACTAAAGCTGTTTTTGCGTAACGGCTATGTTCAAATATTTATGAAGACTCCTCTTCCGGCAAAACTGTAACCGTGAACCAAGCAGCTGTAGAGGGATCTCTGCTGCACTGCATGTCCCACGGGCCTCTCAGCACCTCTCCAGGACTCAGGGGCGCCCCCCCAAGGCCGGCAGCGGGCGGCATGGCTGCCCTGCATCTCCAGGGGGGTGTTGGCCCGCCTTGAGCCTACTTAGGACTGCCATACTGTCTCAGGACAGGTTCGAGGCTCCCTATGGGGCTGCCCATGGGGAAAGGATGGAGACTCTCCCTCGGCCTTATGATCAAAGGTGAAAACTCGAAACACATGAGCATGTCTGTTTCAATTTATTTTGAGAAACTTTATATTAGCAACTGTGAAGCAACAAGTGAGCCTCAAGGATGATAATGGATTTCTGTTATTCAGTGCAACATTTGTTGCTTTTATCTTATGTCATGTAGTATTTGTGTATGCATATTTACATAAGAAATATAAATATGCAGACATACAGAATGGACTGTCATGTTACATTGCAGTGCTGAGTAGTAAATCTGGGATGAAAGTATTTCTGTTATCTGACTGCAGAGCGCTGACGTGTGAGCCTTTCTGATCTGACAGAGCCGCGTCTAGGAGCAACAAACAGCTGGGTGTCCCCATGGACTCTGCAAAAACCAGCAATCATTTGTTTGGGCTTTCAGCGATTTACTTTGGCCATTATTGAAACACGCATCTAAAAATATGGTGATGCTCTATCTGAGCTGAATGTGAATTCTGTTTTTTAAAGCTGTCCGATAACAACAGCATTCAAACATTGACCTCACATTATGCCCGAGTACTGGGGGCTCTGCTGGGACTTGATTCTTTGCCATAGAGTGGCAAACTGTGCCCCCCCTCCCCCCCACATACCACAGAATGATGGCTGATGTGTGTCTGATGTTTCTGAGTTTGAATATACGTTCACACAGCTATCTATGTACATCCTCTGGCAAAAGGTATACACAAAAAAAGGTATACACAAAAAAGGTATACACAAAAAAAGGTACAGTATACACAAAAAAGGCATGGTTTAAGAAGGATGCATCCAGCGGCATCTGTCCAACAATTGGCCTGTTTCACGGCTCACTGTACATAATTCAGGAATTTAACACCCTCTGGAGATTAAAGAAGAAAACAGGACCAACGGAAACATTAGCTATAACTTTTGCTTAGCTTAGAAAACAAACAACAAATGAAAAGTGTCAAGCTTCACAACCAAAGACACCTCAATTAAAATCCATCTCAAAATTATCAGGAATGTTTTAACTATTTATTTAAAATTATAGTTCTCTTTTAAAGTCATTTCATATCTGAAGAAAGTCTGGACTGCAGTCTGGGTAATGAAACTGAAACGGGCCGGTTAAGTCACAGGGTCCCTTCTGAGCAGAGCACAGACTTCTGCCTGGTAAATTATTCTCAGACATAAAGTATAACAATGAAAGGAGCAGCTTAACGCTGCAGCATGCAGACCATAAAGGTGGAGGCTGTAAATGGTGAAACGTCACTTTGATTGAGGATATACTTCTACAAAAATATTTTGTTAAACAACAGAGCACGGTAACATGGTAACAGTGACATTTTTAAAATCTGCCCTCGTACAGGCAGACGCATTCACCACAGTAAAAATGTGGTGAGCAGTGTTTGACTTACTGCACAAGTGAAATGTAAACCAGCCTCTGCTCCAAGATGGACACCAGTCAAAGGTTAAAAACAACTCTATTCATCGCTTTATTTTTTTTAATCCAGAAGTGTAACTCTCTTAAGAGGAGTGAGCTCAGTGTCTCCGTTATACATCTCACATGACGGACAGTGTGAGGTTTGGCCAGGTCCTTTGCACTGTTTGATTATACATTGCTGAGTCCTGCTACAGCAAAGAGGAATTTAAGCTCTTAAACCACCATGGACCAGCTTGGTCAATGAGACACTTTATAGTCAGTACAGGATGGAGAGCTGGTTTGGCTCAGCAAGTGATACACTAGACTGTCCCCTCTCCATCTCTGGACAGTGTGTGTGTGTGTGTATGAGAGAGAGAGAGAGAGAGTTTGTGTATTATGTTTATGTTACATTGTGGGGACCAAATGTCCCCCACAATGTGATATAAACTAGTTATTTTGAAGTTGTGGGGACCATTTTTCAGGTTCCCACAAAGACCTGTGACTGCAATCAAAAAACCTCAAACTCCAAAGTCTAATTTGTTTGGTTACTTATGGTTAAGGTTATTAGAAATTAATGGAGTCCCCACAAAAATATAATTACACACCTGTGTCTGTTTATGTGTGTGTGTTTATGTGTGTGTGTGTGTGTGTGTGTGTGAGGGAAAGTGGCAATGCTGAAACCTACTTCAAACCTAATAATGGCACCCAATTGACAGTGTTTATTCTGTATTCTGTCATTTAAACTTACACCTGCTGTGACCCGTGACCCCGACCTGAGACAGCTGAGACGGACCTCATGCCTTCTGCCTGTGCTCATGGACAGCATCCTTGTAATCAGTACAGAGCCCTATGGAAACTAGCGCAGATTTTTTAAAAAGGACCTCTGTGTGTAGCTTAATCCCACAGGCCCATGAATATAAACAAATGCATTTACTACACCCTTCAAAGGGCACGGGCATACAGCTACAGCAGACGTCATGTGTGTTTATACAGCATATAAATACAAATAGTGCTAATGGTGTTACTTCCCTCTAAGGTCTTTCTGGCGTAACAGGAAATTATATCTGAATAATTTGGCTTCAGCAGGACACACTAATTCCTCGCCTAGCAGATAAATGTTTACATCTTTGCTGAAAGGTATTTGCTCAGATAATTATCTTCAAATTGTTCTGGAAAAAAAACATCAATTATCTCTTCTGACCCTTTTTCAGTTAAAAAAATACTTTAAGTCTGAAATAATATCTGCTCTCGTCTTCAGTTTATTTTGCCAAACACATGGTTGGAGTCTGTTAGTCAGAGCTCCAATGCATTCCGTACGGCTGCTATTCAAGGGTATAAATCTATTATTCCTCTTCCTAATAAATTATTAGCATACCAGTGGTGATTAACTGTTTGTGTGAGTTTTCGAAGCATTTCTAATGCCTCATGTTTGCAAAGTTAAAGCCAACAACACAAGTTTGTACTTAAAAGAATTCTGGAGTGACGGCAGTGAATCATGACACGTCCATCAGGAAAAGTGGTTTTTCCTG